TGACATCATGGGCCAAGGTTTGGCTGGATGATGGTGCTGACAGTTTCCAGGCAGGATTCAGGGCATGGGAAGCCAGGAATGAAGGGTTGCAAGAAATAATGCGGGAGGACATTGCCCTATCACTAGTCACTAGCACTCTCACAGTGCAATGGGCTTTCACAGCATATTCCTAGCACTCTCACAGTGCAATGATCTCCTAGCACTCTCACAGTGCAATAATCTGTCACAGCATATTCCTAGCACTCTCCTGGCATTGAAACAGTGCAATCATCTGTCACAGCATATTCCTAGCACTCTCACAATGCAATAAGCTGTCACAGCAATTTCCAAGCCACAAACTCAAAATGCAAATGCACATACTGAGGTTAGTACCTTGCAAGCAGGCTTGAAGTCGCCTGGCCGGTGAAACACATCCAGAACCGGCTCTGTGTATAGTAGTTACCCAGCAAAAGTTCAGGTAAGCACTCTCAAAGTGCACACTCTCACAGTGCACACTCTCACAGTGGTGGGCTTGGTTGGCATTCAATATGATCTGATCTAACCTGAAATTTAGACATGGCCATATGGCATCTAATGTCGCCAGGCTCTTGAGCACACACACTCTCACAGCGATGGGTTTGCCTTGAACCGATGACGCAATTTACCAAATCTATTGGAAGAGGGGCGCTCTCACAGCACTCTCACAGTGCCTATCCAAATCTACACATCCTCACAGCAGTGATCAACATCATGTAATGAACCTTATGATGGTTTTTTTTCATTATATTATTTTCTTTCTCTGATAGTTTTGTAATTTTCATTTTTTCCAAATTTTCACTCATCCAAATGCTGTAATTTCATTAATTTTTCAGACTTTTTATAAATGGACACAGACTTTTTATAACAACAAAGCCTTTAGGGCGTTCAAGCCTGCCGTTTGCCAGCTTTAAAACCCCTACAACGCTTCAAACCCTTAAAATCCCTCGCGGCTGCTTCCGGCCACAAGCACTAGCTGTTAGAGCGTTGCAGCCTGCCGTTTGCCTCCATAGCCCTCTGTTGTTAGGGCGTTCAGGCCTGCCGTTTGCCAGCCTTAAAACTTCAAAACGCTTCCAACCCTTAATATCCGTCGCGGCAGCTTCCACCAAGCACTCCGGCCACAAGCATTTGTTGTTAGAGCGTTGCAGCCTGCCGTTTGCCTCCATAGCCCTCTGTTGCTAGGGCGTTGAAGCCTGCCGTTTGCCAGCTTAAACCCCTTAAAACCCTTAAAATCCCGCGCGGCTCCTTCCACCAAGCACTCCGGCCACGAGTATTTGTTGTTAGAGCGTTGCAGCCTGCCGTTTGCCTCCATAGCCCTCTGTTGTTAGGGCGTTCAAGCCTGCCGTTTGCCAGCCTTAAAACTTCAAAACGCTTCAAAACCTTAATATCCGTCGCGGCAGCTTCCATCAAGCACTCCGGCCACAAGCATTTGTTGTTAGAGCGTTGCAGCCTGCCGTTTGCCTCCATAGCCCTCCGCTCCGAGGGCGTTCAAGCCTGCCGTTTGCCAGCCTTAAAACCCCTAAAACGCTTAAAACCCTTAAATCCGTCGCCGCCGCTTCCACAAAGCACTCTGGCCACAAGCATTTGTTGTTAGAGCGTTGCATCCTGCCGTTCACCTCCATAGCCCTCTGTTGTTCGAGCGTTGCAGCCTGCCGTTTGCCTCCATAGCCCTCTGTTGTTAGGGAGTTCAAGCCTGCCGTTTGCCAGCCTTAAAACCTCTAAAACGCTTAAAACCCTTAACATCCCTCGCGGCAGCTTCCACCAAGCACTCTGGCCACAAGCATTTGTTGTTAGAGCGTTGCAGCCTGCCGCTTGCCTCCATAGCCCTCTGTTGTTAGAGCGTTCCAGCCTGCTGTTTGCCAGCCTTAAAACATTTAAAACGCTTAAAACCCTTAACATCCCTCGCGGCAGCTTCCACCAAGCACTCTGGCCACAAGCATTTGTTGTTAGAGCGTTGCTTCCACCAAGCACTCTGGCCACAAGCATTTGTTGTTAGAGCGTTGCAGCCTGCCGTTTGCCTCCATAGCCCTCTGTTTTTAGAGCGTTCCAGCCTGCTGTTTGCCAGCCTTAAAACCCCTACAACGCTTAAAACCCTTAACATCCCTCGCGACTGCTTCCGGCCACAAGCACTAGCTGTTAGAGCGTTGCAGCCTGCTGTTTGCCTCCATAGCCCTCTGTTGTTAGGGAGTTCAAGCCTGCCGTTTGCCAGCCTTAAAACATCAAAACGCTGAAAACCCTTAACATCCCTCGTGGCAGCTTCCACCAAGCACTCTGGCCACAAGCATTTGTTGTTAGAGCGTTGCAGCCTGCCGCTTGTCTCCATAGCCCTCTGTTGTTAGAGCGTTCCAGCCTGCTGTTTGCCAGCCTTAAAACCTCTAAAACGCTTAAAACCCTTAACATCCCTCGCGGCAGCTTCCACCAAGCACTCTGGCCACAAGCATTTGTTGTTAGAGCGTTGCTTCCACCAAGCACTCCGGCCACAAGCATTTGTTGTTAGAGCGTTGCAGCCTGCTGTTTGCCTCCATAGCTCTCTGTTTTTAGGACGTTAAAGCCTGCCGTTTGCCAGCCTTAAAACCCCTACAACGCTTCAAACCCTTAAAATCCCTCGCGACTGCTTCCGGCCACAAGCACTAGCTGTTAGAGCGTTGCAGCCTGCCGTTTGCCTCCATAGCCCTCTGTTGTTAGGGAGTTCAAGCCTGCCGTTTGCCAGCCTTAAAACTTCAAAACGCTGAAAACCCTTAACATCCCTCGCGGCAGCTTCCACCAAGCACTCTGGCCACAAGCATTTGTTGTTAGAGCGTTGCAGCCTGCCGCTTGCCTCCATAGCCCTCTGTTGTTAGAGCGTTCCAGCCTGCTGTTTGCCAGCCTTAAAACCTCTAAAACGCTTAAAATCCTTAACATCCCTCGCGGCAGCTTCCACCAAGCACTCTGGCCACAAGCATTTGTTGTTAGAGCGTTGCTTCCATCAAGCACTCCGGCCACAAGCATTTGTTGTTAGAGCGTTGCAGCCTGTCGTTTGCCTCCATAGCCCTCTGTTGTTAGAGCGTTCAAGCCTGCCGCTTGCCAGCCTTAAAACCCCTAAAACGCTTAAAACGCTTTAAATCCCTCGCGGCAACTTCCACCAAGCACTCTGGCCACAAGCATTTGTTGTTAGAGCGTTGCAGCCTCCTGTTTGCCTCCATAGCCCTCTTGCCAGCCTTAAAACCCCTAAAACGCTTCAAACCCTTCGCTTCGATCAGCCTGCCGTTTGCCTCCATAGCCCTCTGTTGTTAGAGCGTTGCAGCCTGCCGTTTGCCTCCATAGCCTATCCGTCGCGGCAGCTTCCACCAAGCACTCTGGCCACAAGCATTTGTTGTTAGAGCGTTGCAGCCTGCCGTTTGCCTCCATAGCCCTCTGTGGTTAGGGCCTTCAAGCCTGCCGTGTGCCAGCCTTAAAACCCCTAAAACGCTTAAAACCCTTAAAAACCCTCGAAGCCGCTTCCACCAAGCACTTTGGCCGCAAGCATTTGTTGTTAGAGCGTTGCAGCCTGCCATTCGCCATCATAGCCCTCTGCTGTTAGAGTGTTGCAGCCTGCCGTTTGCCTCCATAGCCCTCTGTTGTTAGGGCGTTCAAGCCTGCCGTTTGCCAGCCTTAAAACCCCTAAAACGCTTAAAATCCCTCGCGGCAGCTTCCACCAAGCACTCTGGCCACAAGCATGTGTTCTTAGAGCGTTGCAGCCCCCTGTTTGCCTCCATAGCCCTCTTGCCAGCCTTAAAACCTCTAAAACGCTTCAAACCCTTCGCTTCGATCAGCCTGCCGTTTGCCTCCATAGACCTCTGTTGTTAGAGCGTTGCAGCCTGCCGTTTGCCTCCATAGCCCTCTGTTGTTAGGGCCTTCAAGCCTGCCGTTTGCCAGCCTTAAAACCCTTAAAACCCTTAAAATCCCTCGCGGCTCCTTCCACCAAGCACTCCGGCCACAAGTATTTGTTGTTAGGGCGTTGCAGCCTGCTGTTTGCCTCCATAGCCCTCTGTTGTTAGGGCGTTCAAGCCTGCCGTTTGCCAGCCTTAAAACATCAAAACGCTTCAAACCCTTAATATCCGTCGCGGCAGCTTCCACCAAGCACTCTGGCCACAAGCATTTGTTGTTAGAGCGTTGCAGCCTGCCGCTTGCCTCCATAGCCCTCTGTTGTTAGAGCGTTCAAGCCTGCTGTTTGCCAGCCTTAAAACCTCAAAAACGCTTAAAACCCTCAACATCCCTCGCCGCAGCTTCCACCAAGCACTCTGGCCGCAAGCATTTGTTGTTAGAGCGTTGCAGCTTGCCCTTCGCCTCCATAGCCCTCTGTTGTTCGAGCGTTGCAGCCTGCCGTTTGCCTCCATAGCCCTCTGTTGTGAGGGCGTTCAAGCCTGCCGTTTGCCAGCCTTAAAACCTCTAAAAATCTTAAAACCCTTAACATCCCTCACGGCAGCTTCCACCAAGCACTCCGGCCACAAGCATTTGTTGTTAGAGCGTTGCAGCCTGCCGTTTGCCTCCATTGGGGGGGCTCCATATGGGATTGGTGGTATTGCTCCCGTAGGATGTTGGTCCGCAGGCTGCCAAGGTCCTCGATGGGCATGAGTGAACGGGGAGACCGGCTGAGCCCAGAAGGCTGCACATCTTCGAGATGGATTCAAAGCATTGAAATGTCTTGGCCATATGCGCTTTCCTTCCTCCACCCTTGAAAAGGGGTCGGCGGCACCAGTGCGTTGGCCCATTTATTAATGGAAAAAATGCTGCTTTCATGCTTTGTACACCTAGTAGAGTTTGCACTTGCGGGCATTTGCACCAAGCAACTGCTAACTGGTCCACCAAACGCCGTTCGCCATCGTTCGCCGACCCGAACTTCTACAAGGAATCTTACACCAGTTTGCACACCAGTCCCTGCACCTCGATCCCTTTACACGTCTGGATGAGAAAGCAGGATTGTCTGCTATGATTCAAGTGTAGTATCTGATCTTATCGCCTGTCAGGCATTTCAGTTCGAGACAAAAGGCCGTTGCCTTGCCCATTAGATTTGAGGGTTATGAGCACAAAGCTGTGAGCGTAGAACATTCGCAATGGCTTGACACAGAAGATCTTCGTCGATGCCTCCCAATCCTTTCTGGAGCACCAACACCCAATTTGAGTCCTGAGGCCTTGGAGTCTTGGAATAGGCCAGTACCCCAAGATGATGAGTCTGATGCCTCCTCACTTGCCCCTTTGCCAAGCGGCCAGCTGGACAGTGAGAGGGATCCGATGCATGCCTTTCAGACGTTTGGTGACACCAAGAATGAGATCACTTCTGGTGGTGAGATGCCTCACGACATGGACCCGAATGGCACGGAAGTGAATGAGAACCTAGAGCCTCTAGCAACTGGAATGGGTGGGAAGCGAGCGGAAAGGATGGGGAATAGGAGGGGTCAAGTAGATGGGAAGACTTCTGCTGGGGCAACTTCAGTTCAAGGTGAAGGTGAAAAGCGTGAAAATTATGGGCATGAGAATGGTTTGGAAGAAGCACTGGGGGATCAAGTGTTGCAGCATTTTCAACAAGAGGCGATGCGCCTTCAATCTCAGAACAGCATGCTGTCCAAGGAGCTTCAGAAACTTAGAGAAGAGAAACAGCGCAATGAGTTGAATGTCCCGCCGTCTTGGGTGGATCATGCTAGGCAGCCAACACCACCTCCTAGGAAAACACCACCTTCTCATGACTCTCAACAAGAATGGATATCTCCGGAATCTTTCAGATGCACTCCGAATGGTACACGTGCCCCCTCAAGGCCACCACCTCCATCTCCACCACCCTTGCCTGCTTGAGTTGATCTGCAGCGCTATGAGGCTTGCCCGGAGCCACCAAGGAAGTTTCGTGGCATCATGGGTGACTGCAAGTACAGGGTGCGTGGAGATGCAATGATGCCGCGTGAGGCGAGAACGGTGTGGTTTGAAAGGGGGGTTGAATCTGAAGCATTGAAAGAACAGTTAGAGAAAGAAACTTACAAGAACAAATCCATGGCCACTTCAGGGTATTGTAGGGCGAAAGAGACTAGCGAAGCTGTGGAAGGTATGAAACGAACTGCTGGTATCGGAAATTCTGGCGTGTCAAGTTCACAGCATGCATGTCACAAGGGCACTCAGCATGTTCATGTGGATCTCATGAGAGCGTTTCATGAAGCTCACCATCCTGACGGAGCGAGCGCAGTGCTTGGAGAACATGCTCTTCATAGTCAGGCTTGCAATCAGCATGCGTTTGGTGCGCATCCACAGCATGATCGGGCTTTTTTGGAGCATGAGCATGGCAAAGCATGTCCTCTTGATCGGGCTAGCACATTGCATGAGCATGGAGATTTGCGTCCTCACGTTCGGGCTAGCACGCTGCATGAGCATGGAGATTTACGTCCTCACGTTCGGGCTAGCAGCTAGCAAGTATGGTGCATGAGCATGGAGATTTATGTCATCACGATCGGGCTGGCATAGCGCGCGGACAAGAATGTTATTATTCAGGGGCCAACTGCGCTGCACTGCATGAGCTTGGAGAAGTATGTCAACATGGTGATGCTGGTGGCCGAAGTCGCAGTGCGACTTAGCTTCGGGTCATCAACGAGGTCTGAGATGTGACCGTGCAGTCGTAGAAGATGGAGATCTGAAGGCAATACCTATTCAGTTGCCTCAGTTACCCTCTCCAAAGGGACGCGATGCAAGCTTGGAGGCTGGAGATTGGATCATTCAACTTGAACCTCTTGTGGGAGACTTGTCAAAGAATGCCACGACTTGGTGGAGGCGTGTGATGGCTACCACCACTGAAGAGCACTCCCTTTGGCTGTACTCTGATCCACTCTCCCGCCTGAAGATCACTGCCCCTGAGACCTCTGCTTTGTCAGCTGGGTATGAGTGTCTGGACCAAAAGGTCACAAGCCTTCTTTGGCAAGCAGTCCCCAAAGCCATCAAAGATGAGGTTGTGGCTGCACGGGAGTTGACGACTGCAGGAATTCTTGTTCATCGAAGGAAGTTTAGAAGTCAAAATTCCGACAATATGGACAAATGAAAAGCAGAGCAGGGAAGAGGCAGAGAGAAGAGAAAGATTAGAAGAAAGAAGAGTAAGAAGAAAGAAGATGCAGATGCGCGAAAAGGTAGGAAAGTCGCGAAACACTGTGTTTTTTCCAATGATTTGTGGCTCCGGAGGGTCGAAAAGTAGGCTCGCTAAAGCGGCGGGGGCGGGGCCCGCTGGCCAGATGAGAGATGAAAAATTGCACGCCGTTGTGGCGCGAAGAGCACATTCCACTTCAAAATGCACAAACACACCAGGTCGTAGCACTTTGGAAAAGTTGCGATGTGCGAAAAAGTGCACCCGTTTGTGGCGGCGAAGCACGTTTCTAAGTCAAAATGTAACAAAACACAAAAACACACCAGGTCCGGACACTTTTGCATTGAGATGTCGAAAAAGTGCCCGGGCCGTTGTGCGGCGAAGCAGACATTTCGAAGTGAAATGTACAAACCACACCATTCTCGGACCACTTTTGTTTTGGCAGTTGAGATGTCCAAAAAGTGCACGCCTCGTTGTGGCGGCGAAGCACATTTCGAAGTGAAATGTACAAAACACCACATGGTCCGGACCCACTTTTGGAGGTTCAAATGTCGCTTCGCTTCACTACACTACATTACACTACACTCCACTACACTACACTCCACTACACTACATTACACAACACTACAACTACAACTACACAACTACATTCCACTAAACTCCACCACACTAAATTACATTACACTACACTACATTACACTACGCTACACTCCACTACACTACATTACACTACATTACACTACACTACACTACCTTCCACTACACTTCACCACATTACACTACACTACACTCCACTACACTACAACTACAACTACAACTACAACTACACAACTACACTCCACTACACTCCACTACACTAAATTGAC